AATGCGGGTCATTCATATTCCAGCTGCAGTTTTTATTGTACCTTGCATTTGACTCGTACATATATTTAATATTTTTTATATCACCTTACCTTTTTAATTTCATTTTTATTATGATTTTATTATATATGTAATATATATCTATCATCATATTAAATTATGTCCTGTTATATATTAAAAGGAAACTTGATATTACAACTATATATGGAAAACCAGATTTACTTGCCATAAATAGAAGATAACTATAAAAGGAAATACAATGACAGGACAGTTTTAAATTCTAGCTAGATTCCACTGCCTGCTTTGAGCCTGAAGCCTGCTCTTTGTCAAAGATGGAGCAATCAGCAAATGTTAGTGAGGGGTTACTAGTACCATACGGGTGCTTCAGAGGTAATCAGGATTAAACAAGGACCCCACGTGAATACCTTTCTTGCTGTTCACTGTTATTTGATTAATCAGCTGGGTCTCTAACTAAGACCCTAAGTCCTGTACTTTAGAAAACATTCCTTTTTAAGGTATTAGTTAAGCCCCTGCCCTCATGGGATGGGTCCTAGGTATGGTTTTGGAATAATGAACAGTTCCATAAGACATGGTCCTCACCCTAGGGTGACACTTGTGAAAGGAGAGTGGAAAGAAAATGAATGGAATGCAGACAGCGTACCAACCCTGAAGTGCAGTCACAATCCGTGCAATGGGTAAACTGGTGCAAGCGGCGGCAAAGGGGAGATGGGCTTAGCAGGAGACCCTTTTGTGGGGCAGGTAGAGCCAGTATGTTGCTCCTCTCCACAAAGCACAGGTGGGGAAGTTCTCATTTTTACTAGTTGAGGAATCACTCAATGTTCCGTCTCTTCATTTGTAAAATGGTGGTACCCCCATGGGGGTACTGTAAGGACAGAATTGAAAAATGAGTAAAAATCATACTTGCTCTACTATAGGATGTGATTATCACAAGTAGTAAGACTGAGCACCAAGTTGGTAAGTGAGTTGGTGGGCTTTAAGGAGAGAGCACAAGTTGAGCTCTGATGGGAGAAAGGACACGGTGTGGAGGCCAGTGGGCCCCTTGCATCTGAGTGCTCCTCGTAATGGGGAGTCAGAGCAGTTTGGTGACAGCAGAGTCCTGAGCTGTAGCAAGACACCTGAGTAAGCCTCACTCCTCCTTTGTCCAGCTTTTCCAGGAAAATCTGCTGCCTCTGCCACAGCCACACCTCAAAGAAGTGAATAAATGAGCAGGCAGGGGGATCAAGATAGCTTTACCAACGTCCCTATTCCCTCCCAGGTACCAGGATCATCTATGACCGAAAGTTCCTAATGGAGTGTCGGAACTCACCTGTGACCAAAACACCCCCACGGGACCTGCCCGCCATTCCCGGGGTCACTAGCCCTGCCAGCGATGAGCCCCCCACAGAAGCCTGCCAGAACCACCTGCGCAACAGCCCAGAAGATAAGCCTGCGGGTGGTGAGTGACCGGGGTTTGGCCAGGCTCTCTCCCCTGGGATGGGAATGTTTGCAGACCAGTCCTATCTACTAGGGGGATTACAGGGAGAGAATGATGGTGACCACCTCATGCTCTTTGGAGCAGCTCAGAGTCCAGAGAGTAGCAGGGGAGTCAGGATGGAGGCTGGGGAGAACTTTTATCAGTACCAATTTTCTTGTGAAAGTGGCCCAAGAACCCGAGAAAAGGTGATTGGGCCTCATCAGATAATCTAATTAATGGGGAGCTTGTTTGAAATGAGGGGGACTTTCAGTGTGCTCCTTTTTGTACCTGTCCCTGAAGCGTTACCACGTATCTGCAGTACTTGGAAATACCCACAATGTCTATGTGTCTATGTGCAGGAGACAACTTATCAAAGACATGGTGTACTTGTCCTCTAGGAAACTACATGTCTGCAGGCTCATAAAGGCATCCAGGATGCCTTCTATCAGTGTGTTTGTCTACTAGTGGATTCTTGATAAAGATAGGTAGAAACGGTGAAGCCAGTTGTTTCTACAGGTTTGCCATGGGGTAGCTAGGTCCTTTCTGGTTCCCCCCACCTTCTGTCCCTCCCCAAGTAATCAGAGCAGCCCCCTAGACAGAGGTGTGTGTGAATACGCTCTTTGTGGCACAGTGACTGGCTTGCCAGAGCGTCTGAGCTCTCTCACCGTGGGAGGATCCAATGTAAGCACTTGCAGACAAACAGTCAGCCTGGAACCCACTGACCCTTCACCCAGAAGGCAGTATACCAGTCCAGACAGGAAGCAGCTGGGACCTTGGGCTGGGCTGGCTCTGCTGACAGCAGAATCCATCTACCAGGGACCTACAAGACGTGATTCATCATTATGTTGGGAACCCCACAATCTAAGACAAACAACAGTTGCCTTGCCTTTCAAACTTAGAAAGCGGTGGGAGGGAGAGAAATAGATCCAGACACACATAGAGAACAATAAAGATGGCTGGAGAAAAGGATGGATAGATCCACATGGCTGGTGGCACGGTACCTCCTGCCCCCGCTTTTTTCCTCAAACCAAAGACTGTAAGTTGAAAATAGAGGTACAACTCCTGAAATTAAGTTACCACTACCTGAAGGCTGTCCCCCACCCCCACTTGCATACCCTCTTCCCTCCCAGTTTCTAGAACCACTCTGGCCCATAAAAAATGCTGGGTTGGCCCAGCGGTGCCCCAGGCAGGCAGCTTTACCCACAATAATGGCCTAGTCATTCAGCACCATTGTTATGGGGTGTGGTAGTGAGGAAGGGATATCATTTTTCATTTTGCTTAAGTCCAAGGCCCCTGGCCTTGGACCTACATATTTGTGTAAATATAACCAGAAGAAGAGCTGGGTATCTTGCTGTGGGGCCAGACCAGGCGTCTTGCTATACAGAACCTTGGGCAGCCATGTCTAAGAGATTGTGAGTGAGGCAATTTCATTAAAAAGCAAAACAACCTGCTGCAGCATGGTGACTTGGAAATTTTAGTGGAAAGGCGGGGCAGGGTAAGGGCAGTAAGTGGCTGAATTACCCAAGTAACTGCTTTACCACAGGGTCAGGCTATTCCATGAGCAATCGGGTATATCCCAGTAGGTTATAGTATCATTTTCTTAACCAAAAGTTAGGACATGCGCTCAAAAAAGTTTTATGTTTAAGGAATATTTTTCCATGAAGTTATGTTTATGACAATTCACAAGTATCCATCCACTCATTAAAAAATAATAAAAATTTTACAAAATTCAGGACTGTCCCTCTCCCATGGGAGACCTAGTCTCGGCTCTTCCTTCGGGTTTGGGCAAGAGAGCACAGCTGGACACGGCACCTTCAGGCCTGTGTTTCCAGGAATACCCCCCATTCTCCTTAGCAGCATAAACCTGGCCCCTGCTCTTCTTGTAGGAACAACAGAATGAAAAGATAATACCTCTCCTTGCCTCTAAAATGCCAGCCCTACCATTCCCTCATGCTTACCCGCCCTCTGTCCTTTTTTTCTCCAGGCGAAGAGTCACAGTTTGAGATGGACATTTAAAGGACCTGCCATTGGATCAAGCCATGCCTTTGGGCACCTCTGGCCCTCCTCAGGAGGAGTCACACCAGCCAGGCCTTATAGAAGTTATCATCGGTGCTCGCTTTGGAAGCACATATACTAAAATTGGAAAGAAAGTTATCAACTTGGACAGGCATTGGGTATGGGGTGAGCCACCCCAGTCCTCTGCTCCCTCACTCAGGGCACCTGCTCCTCTTCCTCCTTCTTTGTGAATACCAGCAGATACCTCCATGTGCCTCCACTCATGCTGGAGCTGCTGCCCCAGTGGGAGTGACTCCCAAGAGCATACCCTACAGCCCTGGGGCCAGGAAGTAGACATAAGGACCCTTTTTGAATGATCATCTGGCTCTTTCAGTACCATCCTCTGGAGGCGCACCCACCCCTTCCTTAGCTTGGTGTATGTGGGAAAGCTTCCCTCCCCCTTCTTCCCCAAGAGAGGAAATAAAAGCCACCTTCACCCCAGGGCCAGGAGTTGGCCCCTGTCTGAGCTCTTTTCAACTCCATATGGATAACTAACACCAACTGCTATCACTGGGTGTTATAAAGCACTTTCCTATACTTGTCTCATTCGATTCTCATGCTGATCTTGTTAAGTAAGTAGAGCAAGTATCATTTTCATTTTACAGCTCAGAAGACTGGCTCAGAAGTTAAAATCACACACTAGTAACTGAGAGATGGGACTGGGTTTGAGCTGTGCTGCTCTTTATCTCTTGTTTTTCAGTGGTGGATGTTACCTCTCTTCTGGGCTTTGTCTCCCGGAGCCGGTCTATTCCCTGCGAAAGTCAAAGGGGAGAAGAGACTTGAGACTCTTTGATTCATGTGCCCCTGATGTTTGTCAAGTGATCCCTTTGTGTGAGCTGTCATGGGGGATAAAACATGAGACAAGCTCTCTGCCTTGATGATTTTATTGAAAATATAAGACCCATAAGAAAAGGTAGTGTAAAAGATTCTATAGCATTGGTTAACAGTGAGTGGTCCATACAAGTGGAGACTTCACGGAGGTAACACCACTGCTGGGTCCTGAGAATGAGTGGGCTGAGAGAGGCAGGGGCCCGGTATTGCCGAGGTCAGGTGGTCTTGTGGAACAAGGGTGTACAAGGACAAGAGCAAGTTGCCTGCTTTAGCCAGTGCAGGCAGTTTGTGTGGGTGGGGATGGCTTTTCTAAAAGGCCTAAAAAGGACGGAGCTATAAAGGCCTTGAATGCCAGGCAGAGGTCTTTGCTGAGAAGTAGTATGGGTTTCTCATCATAAGACATGCAGGGGGTTGGATGACCTTTGACCAGGAGGTGGTGGGTGATGTGGACTTTATAAACTATGGGCTCATAGCACTTATCAGTCTGCTCTTTGGGGAGCAGCAGGCCTTAGTGCTCAAATCCTTTGCCTGTCCTTTTCTATAGCCGAGTTGGAGTCCTTTCCCCTCCTAAGGACTGTGAAGGCAGTTGGAACCAATGTACCTGGTGATGGTGCCAACCAGCCATGGTGGTATGTTGACTCCAGGCACACAGCACACAGCATAACCTCTTTGTGGAAAGTGAGATTATGGAGGGGCCACCACAAGAGCAAAGACAACAACTAACGCTCTAAGTAGGATCAAATTAAAGATCGGATCAGCCTTCTCAATCCCTTAGCTTTCCAGTAAAAGAATAAAATCTTACTCTCCCCTCCTGATATCCAACCAGAAAGAGGTCTTACTCACAAGTCTGACATGATCATATCATTCTCTTTCTTGGTCCTACATCTCAGGGTCCAAAAGACAGGGTAAAAAATTGGCTTCTCTGACAATAAGAAAATTGTTCACAAGTTGTGTGCCTTTCCAGTGGACAAAAGTATCCTCCAGAAAACCCAGGTGTTTCTTGAATGTCATTCTGGCTGGTATAGGCAAAGATCTATGACACAGTCCTTATCCTTGAGGAGATTAAAATCTTGTTGGGGAAGAGATAAGGCTCCCATGGTCCAATTTAACACCCCAGACTACCAAGTCTTAAAGCTTTTGTACTGACACTCTGGAAACCATCACAGTTTGGCCTGCCCACCCTGTGGCATCACCAAAAGCACTGTTTTTGCAGTTGGGGACCCAGTGATAACTGTGAGACAGAGCCAAATATGCTATGAACCAGGAAATACAAAGAAGTATTTTAAGCTATGGTGTGTGTTCCCAAGGAGCTTACAATCTGATCTGGAGATGAGTTACTATGAATAGTAAAAGGACACACAGAAATGTCATAAAACAATATTTATGTGATTGTTCAATGAGTGGAGGCCATGTCAATGCCACAAGTTAAGGGAATCAGAATCCTTCACAGAGGAGCAAGGACTTGATAGAACCAATGGGATTTTGACTTACAGAGGGCCTTCCTGGATCATGAATGGCCTGAGGTACAGAGGCCAGGAGAGCAGTTTAGCTGGAGAAATGTCACATATTTTCCATACATGAATGAACAGGCTGAACCAGAGCGGTAGAGATGGGAATAAGCTACACTGGGAAAGGAGGCTTGACAGCACTTGGCGAGGTAGAAGGAGAGAAGTGGTCATGGAAGTTTCTGGTCTGAGGGACCCAGAAAAGGTTCAAGAAATGACAGTTTAGGAGTGGCACAGAATAAAGTGAGAAGGCCTAAAACAGAACCTTGGGGAGTGTTTCCAGTGAGCATGAGTAGAGTCCAGGGACCTGAACTACCAGTGATTTTCCAATCATGCTGCTGTTGGCACAGCTGTGGGCATCCCTCCAGCTCCCAGGTAGCCAGGCTAAGGTTCCAGTGGAGGCCATTGTTCTACTGCCACCCTTTAGTATGACAGTCATCATCATTGAAATGACTCAAGAAAAGGCCCAAGGACACATGGCCAATCAAGAAATCCTATGGTCTGAAAACGAGTACTTCAGAAAAAGCCAGGTTTTTAACAGACCCAGCAAATGGTCTTTTCCAGCTAAATCCAACCTTATTCTGATTTAACAAGCCTTTGCTAAGCCTCCTATCCACACTCAACATGATGCTAGATACAAGAGAATTTCAAGACAAACACCTGTGAAAAAAAATAATCCCGGGAGGCACGATTAAATGCAAATAAGTGGAGTGAGAGTGAGAGGTCAGTGGGACTGGAGCAGTTGAGAGCCAAGGATACAGAAGCTGTGGAGGAAACTGAGCAAAGGCGTAGTGTCTGAAATGAACATAGTGTGTGTAGGGATATTATGTGAGGATGAAGTGTGTTGGGTAGCACAAGGTAAATTTAGATAGCATATGAATAGATTATTGAACAAAAAAAAAAAAGCATTGATTGAATGCCTTCTGTATGTCTGGAGCTTTACTACAATCTTATTTATGGTCCCCATAACTTAAAAGTAGGTGTTTTTATTCCCATCTTACACACGTCCATAGTTAGTGTGTCTCAGAATTGGGATTCCAGCTTCCATCTGTCCGGCTCCAAAGCCCGTGCTCTTTATACCACATTGGTTGGAACTAAGGTCTGGGCTATTTAGAGTGTGAGCTGTAGGCAACTAGCATGTTAGTTGGAGGTAGAAGAATCAGGCAGTAAGAGATTGGTGTTAAGGTAAAGGTGAAGGGAACTAGAGCCAGGAAGTCATTCAGATGTCCAGTGAGTTGCTTAGAATTAGTGGGGGTGAGGGGGAAGGGCAGGGTACAAAGGCATGAAAGAAGATTGATAGGATTTTCTCATTTGTAGAAAGGCTATTTATTGAGTGCCTACTGTGTGCCTGTGTACAGGTACTGTTCTAGGCGCTGGAGATAAAGCAGTGGGCAAAACAAAGCCAGGAGCTGACCTAGCAGATGTAACAGACCGTTGGGGATTGAGGCCATGTGTGATTCCTGTTTGGTACATTCAGCTTTCATTGCTGAAATCGGAAACCTGGCCTGCACAAAATCAGGTTCAGACTTTAGCATGGACAACTCTCCCTGCCCCACTAAGCAGAGGCCATTTGTTCCTTACTTTCGGAAAATTAATTCTTTGAGGAAGAGCCAGCACTCCAGTGAGAGGCGGCAGACACCTTGGTTTCTAGAAATAACTAGAACGAAGCCTCCCTCCTTATGTGCAGCAGATTAAATGAGCATGAGAAGGTAAAGAAACTACAGATTAATTGGGGGGAAAGTACGACTCCTAAAGATTATTAGGTTTTCGTGAATGAGTGTGACTTGCATGTATCCTGCAGGGAGAATGGGAGAGGAGGCCCCATGGCCAAAATGGAGAGGAATCCGTCCTTCTTCCAACTGTTCAGAGGCTAAAGCACAGGAAGCAGATTTTTAAAGGAAGCCCTTTCATCCCTCATTTGTTCCTTACTCATAGGTTCTCAAGACAAATGAGGATTATTTAGTTTCTATTTACAATACTCAATTTAGTGCTGCCTCCTTTTTTTGAAAGAGTTTGTTAAAACAAGGAAGGAACCATACTCAGAAACAGTTATTCCATTTCATTCAGTTAGTGAAAGGTAGGATGCCACGTGTATTCTAGACCGAAGAACACTTCTCCACATTATTTGAAGATTATGCAACTGTACCCTCATTCTCTGAGAGGAATATGGAGAGAAAAATTTTCCAGATAAGGTGACCAGAGCTGTACTATAGGCAGAATCAGGATAGAGAACACTCCAGCACTGCTTCTTGGTTTGGGACTAGCTAGTTAGAACCTTCTCTCTTCCCACCAAACAGCCATGCATGTAGCCATATTGACCTCTGACCCTCAGCTTACCACTTGCCAGAAGTTTCTTGGCTCTTTCTACCAAGAAACTCCATCTAGCATCGAAGTTTATCCTTGCAAGTTCTTCTCAACTCAAGCTTCTGCCTTTAGGTTGTACTTAAACCTTTTCCTAGTCACTCCACCCTAAAATGGGAGATGCAAAACTGCCTTTCAAAAGGACAGCCAGGACTCTGAACTGTTAAAAACTCCTTTCTTAGCATCTATAGGATAGATTCAGATTTATTTTGGAATCATGGCTATAAATGTAGTTGTCACTCAAGTAATCCCCCAATTCCTGGAATGATTTCAGCTTCTGAGCCCTTGAAGAACCACCAAGAAATCTATCCACAGCTGTGTTTCCTAGTTTCTGATCCTCTTAACTCAGCCAAGGGACATTTACAGTGAACTAGAAAGCTCTGATGTTCTACACAGTGGCATTGACACCCAAATATTCTGTAAGCCTGATGAACTTTGCTATGCTCTTACTCAATTCACTGACAAATTATGCTAGTGGTCCTAGTTCGATTTGGGAGGAAAAGTAGCATGACTTCATCTCCCCTTTCCTATATACATGGCAACTAAGCTTCTTTTGCACTGCCCGGAGGTAAAGAGATTTTTTGTGTGTGTGGGCACCATGCAATGTGTGTGTCCTCTACCTATTCGACCCTAGTGTTGGATGATCTCAAACCACTGAGGAACAAGATAGCACTGCCATTCTGCTCTGTAGTCAAGATGCAATTGGAAATGCCATTCGATCTTGCGTACCACTGTTTCCAAGGTGTCTTATTTAACATCTCTAACCAGAACCTTTAGCCACTGCCTCCCCTCTCTTTTCTGGAGACTCCAGTTCTTTCTTCCTTAAATAAGACTCAACAACTTCATGTTCCTCCAGGGTTGAAGATGGGCCATCACAAACAGAAGGCTATTATCAGCCTATGGCAGAGCTATTGATCCTGACCTGTGAGACAGCTGGCCTGCCGTGTGTAGCACTCACACAGGTACTATACCAGGGGTCCCCAAACCCCTGGGCCACGGACTAGGTACCAGTCGGTGGCCTGTTAGGAACTGGTCACACAGCAGGAGTTGAGTGGCAGACCAGCGAAACTTTATCGATATTTGCAGCTGCTCCCCAGTGCTAGCATCACCGCCTCAGCTCCACCTCAGATCATCAGGCATTAGATTCTCATAGGAGCACTGATCCCTGG